TGGTAAAACTGGGACTGACGTTGTAAATCTGTCCGATAAATCATAAGATAGAAGTAAGAAACAAAAGTTGTTGTCCAGAGAGACCCGGTTTTGTGGGACATTTTGTTGCAAAATCACAGTTATGACAAACACTAAGTGAATTTTTTTTATACTTTTCACGAAAAAGGTCAGTACACAGTCATCTACACACTAGCGGCAGATTGCAAGACTATGGGACACTTGTATGTTCTCGGACAATAGCTCGTTCCGCTTCCTCAGTGTGTCAGCAACACCGGAAATTTTAAAAAAACAGTGCATAGTGGTGTCATGGTTACTATCGAACAAGTCTTCCACCAAACGGAAAAATCACACCGTTAACCAAATTCCTGGTTAAATTATTGATTATCAGACGGATAAAAGTAAGAAAGAACAGTATGCTTCTCTTTACTTTATAGTAAGCCTTCTGAATTTCCCCGTGAACAGTAGTCTGCACGTATTCTGAACATTGTTGACCAATCGTAATGCGATGATAGGTTGTCATTCCCTTATTGGTTGAAAAAACAAAAAGTTGAAGACTTCTCCTCGAGTGTTTTGTCTTGAAACATGTGTACAGGCGCCCCTAGAGGCGTCCTTATGCGGGTAGAGCTTGGGTCGTCCACTTGGTTACCCGGCCTCTACATTCCTGTGTGGCCGCGATTGCTTCCTCATTTTTTTAAATCGAAATTGCACTCTGAAGATCCGATTCTCGCCACTTTGCACATGACAAAATCGCCTAGTGTGCACTTTCCTGCAGTGGTTCAACAGGTTGGTGTTTTTCAAAAACTCCAATGCATATTTCAGACCAATAGGCATGTCCAACATGGTTCATATCAGCTGAGATTCCCGACACATGCTGTCCTGTCAAGCGAACGCTGCTCAGAAATAGAAGCAGAGCTTTGTTTTCTCGCATCGACTAATAAACTCTGATTCAACTGCAAATACACTCTGTTCGTTCAGTTTTGTCCCGTAGGAATGATCTTCACCGCAGAAGTTGGGCGATGCAGACCGTCTGTAAGGATATTAACACCAGCACACTGTCAACTGCCCATATGTGTGGGTTCGTTTACAAGTAATTTTACCCAGGCCTTTGTAAATGTAAGAGCGTTGGCGAGAACTACAGTCCAAGTCAAAATTTTGTCCATTTTTGTTGTTATTGACTGGTGGGAGGTCTGCAGTTGATATGACTAACTCACATTGTTCTAAGAGCCAATCACGTAAGCACTGAAGGCCTACTGAACCTCAAGGCTGCATGACTTGCAACAAACGCAATGGAGTTCAGTGAATTGCAGTGGCGGCCTTCAGACATTTACGGTGTCAGCTGACTGGCATTTCATTTATTCTGAATTTCTCACACCATTTCAAATTTGATATCGGTTATATCCTGTTCCACCAACGATAAAATGCTGGGATGCAATGTCGTGAATAGTAATGTGATGCGTGAAACATACTGAAACAATATGGTCTTCAAAATGTTCAGGAGGTCATTTTCGACCGCCAATCATCTCCGGCATTACGTTTACGATGAAAGGGGAGCAGCGGCTAACCACTGTTCTAAATAATCCCTTTGGTCATAAAAATTGATGTTCTTGAAAGCCTTTGAGTAGCCATACAGTATCCAGAGCTTCCTCCTTCTGATGTTCAGAAAACGGTATGTTCATCAACGAAAGTTTGTGAACCGAAACTCAGTGTGGTAAGTGCAGTTATCACCTGAGCAACTTAGCCACTGGGCTGGAAATGAAGTTTCGCCCGAACGAATGAGAATACAATGATTCCCTTTTCAGCAAATCAGCTTTTTGTGACTCTTCCTAATCCCTGTCTTTTTGACAATCCCAGGTTCACCAATTGAAGTTGATGAATCTGGGACTTTTGTCGTACTTTACTTCCACAATTTCAGTCTTAAATCTTTTCTGTCTTCGACAGAAAAGAAACACATAGACTTTACAGCTGAGTGGGATCAGAATCATCTTCCCGTTACTGTGACACAGGAATTTATCCGTTTATCCGCATTTTCTACCCCTTTGCCAATTTCCAATTTTGCAAGTCAAACTCTCTGAAATGTCATGAGAAGTAGACGTCGCCAGATTCATAAGACTCAGGCATCCGGCTAGGTTCTCAAGCTATTGAGTCCTGCATAATGCCATTAGGCAGTTAAAAACTACACGCGGCAGTTTATTGAGTGGGAAACTGCTTAAAAGGGACTTCAGTGCACAAGTCATTTTGGCTCGTGTCTTAATCGGTGTACAAATGAGGTGTGCCTGGGCGTTTAGAAGGCTATGAAGACCTCTAGAAATGGCGAACCATTCGTACGTGAAAATTCCCAGACAGCAATGTGTAAGAGTTAGCTAGCAACTACAAAATTCCGTGTTCACTTGATCTCATCGGAAAATTGTCTGGACAGTTCAGTCTGCGTTAGATGCGTGGACGCTGTTTGTAGGCTACAATGTATCGGAGAATACCTTATGATTCGATAAACAGAGTAACAACCATACAATAGAAATATTGTTTCATTAGTATACATAAAATCTTTGGAAGAAATCCTTGAGTGAATGGTAAGCAGTCGAAGCTGTGTGTCCCCGGGTCTTCGTGATTGGTTCGGATAGTAATCAATTGGGCCTACTTATACCAAGGGGGTCTACTGGTTGGCTGACACACATTAAGGTTCGGCGATAACAATATAAGGTATGTGAAGCGATCTGTGCGCTGGGACACATCACTAGTTACTGAGCTACGGATGTTTCCACCATCCCATGGGAATTTGAGATTTCCGCTGGGTTGTTATACGGAACATAAATTCCTTTAAATTCCATACTAATTTTCGGGGTGATGCGAACAGTGTCCAACCGCTATACATGCAATGTCTGAAAAGTTGTGGACCCTTTTCCTTCTGGCAAAAACCAATGTCCAAAGCTGAAAGATACCGGTGAAATACCCATTTTTTGTAGGGTATAGTTTGTTCAGCTTCACGGAAGCTTCAAGACAGAGTCAATTTTTAAGGGGCTGTTTAATCACTCTGTAATTACGAGGTTCATTATCTAATAAGTGATTGTGTTGTTCCTGGTAGAATCTTACCCATACCCACAGAGATGGGAATGTATTTTCATAAAGGAAACTACTCACAAGGTTGCTAAAAACTCTTCGACAGCCCACAACCGGTTTTGCTCTTCTTGAGGTTCATCAGGTAAGCGCAGTCCCCGAGTTTCCTTCAACCCTATGTTCTTTAGATTGTCCTACTGAAACATATTAGTAGCCATTTTACTCTATACTTTGCGAAATGTTTGATACATGTGAGCATTAGCAAGTGACACAAGCAAAAATGCCAGCTTTAGTCCATGATGTTTTTAGCTCGAATGCCAATATATTGATTGGGGCTGACTGATTCATTAGTTAAAAGTTGATTATGTTTTGTTATTTATCCAATCTGTCTCTGTGTTTTTTCCTTATGTAGTCGGTTTCGTTAACAAGTCTTCCTTCAAAACGATGACCTGAAACGTCAATTGGATGGTTCTCCGTCTACTTTTCAGGTCCTGGAGTAGCCAGCATGTATTTCTGCTGCCTAAGCTCACCGTATGAACACGTCTCTTAGCTCACTCGCTGTAGCAGTGAATGGCAAGTGGTGACCGCCGGCTTCCTTATCGAGACTGAACCTTGTAATATCATGATGCCGTCCTACTGATATAAAGTTAATCCGGGTGCACAGCGTACTAGATCGTGTTCAGTTACTATACATTCCTTACCCATTTTACTGAGGTTTATTGGGTCTAAAGAAAGTCGAAAAATTCCGACAAACACACTCCTTGATCTGGTTTTTACGGGAGACCCAAGTGAATCTCTCTTTCATGATATTCTCCAACTGAATATGTTGCACAAAAGCCGCCTCATGTCTCACTGTATATGGTATTCGCACTATCATCGTAAATGCTGTTGAAAGAGGAAACTCGGGGACTATGCCTACCTGGTGAGCCCCAAGAAGGGCAAAACCGGTAGTAGGCTGTCGAAGAGTGGTCAGCAACGTTGTGCATAGTTTCCTTTACGTTTTTGTTGTTATACTCCGAGGAAACTGGGGTAAAGATGAGCCCGTGCATTTACTTGTGCGTTTTTCTATCGTCGTATTTTTCGGTTACTTCAACAACCAGCGAGAAGACAAGCTAAAACAAACAATTGGTGGATAAATCCTGCTACATCCCGACAATAGATAGGCCTCAAGTTCAATATCAATGAAAACCCAAGGCAACAGGATGAATAAAGTAGCCGGGTAAAGAAAACCATGCTATACCGGAGGCAAAAAGCCTGGGCTTTTTGGAACATTGAATAATCGCACGGAGCTATTGAAGCAGTGAACATAACTACACATCGGAAAAAATTGAAATACGACGTTCCATCAGAAGATATAACAATGAAGCATGAGTTCCGCTACATCCTCGGACAATAAGTCGCCGAACGCATTCAGCATTCTGTGAGCTTGGTATTTTGGATGGAGGTTAGAAAACAGTAAAGCGTGTTTGTTTCAAAAAACGTAAATATACCTAATCTGTGGAAATATCCTAGCTTTCAGCCGAGTGAGCAAATTTTCATTTTAATTTGAGCGTGATGCTTTCAGTGCATACTTTAAGAGATCATCCCCTCCTTCAACAGGTAACGTTGCTGTGTTCATACAAGCGCACTAGGTGGAGTCACAAATAAGTCTGCCAGTTTTACTCTTCACCTCTCCAGGCACACGACTTTATTATGTACATGTTCTGATCGAAAATGCGGATTCTCATGGTGAGGTAAGTAATCTTCCGTTGAGAATCTACCGAAGGAATTCCATTCATCTGCTACACAGCCTGCACCACAGAAAAAATCGTTCTCAGGGTGTTTCGCCAATCAATGAATAGGCTGCAGTGTCCTTGAAGCTTTTACACATGATTGGTTGATAGCATCTTGTCGGTCAGTTGAGCTGTTTAGATTTTTTGCTGAAATGTCTCTTCATATGTGGGTCGATTCGACTGCGTGCTGACGCACAAAAAGCAAACTGTGAGTGTTTTCGCATCGTTGAATGAAGGTACGTACGTCATAGCATTTATTGTAACTGTTAGGAGTATGATGATGTCTTCAAAAAGATTCAAAATAATTTCATTTAGAAAGAGCACGTGGCTTATTTCTGACTGGCCTAACAAAAAACAATGCGAGGAATTCGAAGCCGGTCTGCCTCATACACCATATAGGAAATATTTCAAGATGTTTTTCTGAAACTCATACCAAGTTCTTGGGGATCAGCTATCATCTCGGTCGCTCGATGCCATGTAATATTGGTTGCATTTGCACATGTTCAGTGAGGGATTTCTCTTTAAAAAAAGGATAAGCAAAGTGCTGTGCGAATCTATGTCGGATTCTCGTCAACCAGCCTCTTTACGACTCACTTGCATGGAAGCCGTCACCCACCGCTGATGAGCTCCAGTAATGACAAACCGGAGTTCTTTGCTTCGTCGACCATTAGAACTTTTCACAAAACTGTTCTCTGAGCAAAGCCTGCTCGTGAACCAATCAAGAGACATCAAAATCACTGACCTAGCAGGAACAAAATAAACACAAATTTCATTATTATTCCATGGGTCTGCGTACAATGTTAGCCTAACGCATTTATGCTTGGTATTTTGTAATTGTATGGAGCCCGTTGCTCCAGGATCGAACCCTGGTGCAAGTAGGCTTGTTGAGTTCTTGTGGATGTTGGACAGGTGTCCACATCCATGCAGATCAATGCTGGGTAGAAGTCCGTGGAAAAAAAACTAGATCACAATTTTACCCCCGTTGGGTCTTGTCCTGCAGTTTCCAAATTCAGAGAGGTGTTTTAGCCCCGCAGCTAATCCACGCTCGCTTCCAAGTCTTGAATCCCCCTCTTGAGGGGATGTCGAAATGGCTGCTCATGCTTTGGATGACTAGCACTAAGAGAACTGAACATTCCGTATTTTGATGCTTCAAACAGCCTGCAAAGATTTTTTGCTAGAACATTTTGTTCTGTCCTGACGGACCCTGTCACGCCTCTAGTATCCTTGCATATCCACAAATAAGACATACAGGTGCAGACCTGACTCAAATGCCGTGTGATAAGTTTGCGGTGAAGAGAACCGACATGTTTGAGCAAACCTTACTAAGAGAAAATATTGGGAGATTTTCTTAGCATCTTTTGGTGTTGGTTGCTCTTCTCAGCGTTCTCCAAACGGACCACAAAGACTATATTTAGGAGTACGCGCCCTGCTTTTGAGTCCGTATTACACGGTTCGATCTCTCAGGACCATACTCTAGTGAAACCTATTGCTCTTGTGCAACTTCAGGTGGTTCAATTTCTTCTCATCATGGACTGGGGGCGATATGGCACAGAAGGTTAGAGCGCGAATTTACTGACCGGAAGGTCCGTGGTTCGAACCCAACCTCTGCCTCTCGACTTCCCCTGTCTATGCCTGGGCAACCTAGCAGTATCCCGGCTCTCGTGCAGCCTTTGGGTGGCATGGCAGTTAGGCACCGAAAGGGTGCTAAAGCTGAACAAGTTTCTATTTTCATAATGGGATTTTATCGGCTGAAGTGGTTAAAAGCTGGTTAGCTGAAACTGCTACGCAAACGCCTTACTAGATACTTTGTTTATGAAAACGCTTTACCTTCTAGTTGGAGCTTTACCAATACTTTCGCAGCCATCAATGCTTGAACAGTGTTACCTTTATGGTTCTTCTCTAGGTTGTTGCGCGGTTTTGAAAATAAAGTTTGATAAACGGTATGCTTTATGAAGGACTTTTCATTTGTCCGAATCCGTATGTGATGACGGTTTGATTTGGTGGGGACAAGTCTACGTTTGAGTAGTTTGATTTTATGCCTCATTCACAAAAAAGTGTGTTTTGACTCATGTTTGGACCAAAATTTTACTTGCCTAGAGATATTTAGGCGGAACCCAGTCCCAAGTGCCGGAGTTCTTTTTTCGCAGATGCACCCAAATACTTTTGAGAACTCGCCTGTTTCTTGTAAAGGATTCCACCTTCGTTCATTGTCAATGACTTTTGCAATCTCGTTTAGATTACCGTCCTTCATTGTTTGTTGTGAAACTCTAATTCAATTTTGTCAGCAACTCCAAGGAATTGGATGATCTTTATTGGTAGGAAATGACGGCATCAAGAGAAGTAAGAAACTGATGAAGTGATCTTAAGTGAACGTTTGCTTCTCGTCGGCTTCTCGTCTTAACGCCCGGTTCCTCCTGTGGATCCGGCAGTTTGTTGATCGCAGGCAGGAATGTTAGGCCCCGCTCTCAGCAGTGCTTACAATTCAAATGAACAGTTTTTGTGCCATCTTTGTAAATGACAGGCGTACGTCCCGGAGATGAGTTGCTTGGAGTCAGGTCAAGAATAGTCTGATGGTTTGCAAGATAGTCCTGAAGTCACCAACAATGTAGTGTAAATAGTGAATCCGAATCCATGGAATAGTAAGCTCTCAATGTGCTATACGCACTCAATGGGCAAATAAGCAAGTAAGGGAATCGGAAATTTGCCCCATCACCACTCGAATCTTTTCGGTAGCTATCTCGACAGGCAAATTAATCCTTCGTGTACACACACTGTCCATTTATTTGTTTTACCTTGAAGTGGGAGGGGTTATGGAGAAACCTTCACATGTGCGGACCAGCTTGTTGGTTCAAAATTACGCATCCGCTTATAGTTAGAAAAGAAGTCAGTCCATTTGAATATATAAAAACAATAATTAGAGTCCTGAGTTAAACTGTTTCTAGCGTTTTAGAGTTGTTTTACGTCTGAAGTGCGCCGACCCATCCGAAAGAAGTCCTTCGCCAAGCCATCGACTAGGTCATTATCACGTCCTCCACGAAGGTGGATGACCAATCACGCCAAACATTCTTACGACTCAGGTGATTCACGAATGACTGTTGGAATCGATTGACATTTCTTACTTGAGAGGGTCACGTGCGCACATCCACAAACGTGGATAGCACCAGCAATATCCACCCCTGTTATTCTAATATATCGGGTGGCACAGAGGTATACGTATTCTTGTGGATGCAAGTATTTCCTTACTGAAAATTGATATAACGAAAGGCCGCGACACTGGATACATATTTTCACCATAGTAGCACATGCCAATGATCTCATCTCCATCCTTCCTGAACTGAAACAGGATATGATGATATGAAAAAAACTTTGCAAACGAAGGGCTTCAAACATGAGATTTCAAGTTCAGAACAAATCAGTTTTGAGTATTTACGCTTTCATTCTTCTCTCTGCACGTCACGCGATCGTGGTCGTTTACATTCACTATCGTTAGAACCCTTCCGCTGTATAATGTTTTGGAATTTAGCCATATAGGATAACAAAATTTTGTTGACCATCGAAAACACTTGTGCGTCAAGTTACACATGTCTTACTTAGTAAGTTATAAGTCCATCGTCATATATTTTCCGACGAGCTCGCAGTCGAAAGTGTTTGCACACATGAGCCGTGAAGTTCATGTAGATTATCTTCTACGCTTCATTGGTCGCACGGTAATCAGGGGCAAGGTCGAGAAACACAACACCGGTGAGTTTAGGTGAACACACTGTAACATGGCACGTGTCCTAAAGTGCACACTTTGACCAGTTAGGCTGAATAGTTCTTTCATTGTGACTATCTACCCTGGGGAGTTTTCTCACGACACTAAATTAGTCTTCTTTAAAAAAAGATACACGTTTTACTCTGATAGGTGTTTTCGGGCACTCGATATTGTCCCCGCTCATCTTTACTTTACCAAAGACTTGAGCTGGTTACTTTGTGCCCAAAGAAAGGTCATCGAAAGGCATACTGTCAGTCTTGGTTCAGAGAAACCGGATCTTCCATTTCAAGTATTAGTTGAGCCCAGTTTAGAGCCCCAGGTTCACACACATGGTTCTAAAATCTGCAGTCCTTCGTAGGGGTGACCCTTAGGGGACTATTTGGATTTTGGCAGGGCTAACAAAAAACGAGCTAGAACGGTTCTACTGCATGTTTGCACGTACCTTTGCAAACGAAGGGCTTCAAACATGAGATTTCAAGTTCAGAACAAATCAGTTTTGAGTATTTACGCTTTCATTCTTCTCTCTGCACGTCACGCGATCGTGGTCGTTTACATTCACTATCGTTAGAACCCTTCCGCTGTATGATGTTTTGGAATTTAGCTATATAGGATAACCTCTAGTCTGTCGTGTAATTATTTCGTCGTGATTTCCGGTACTACTCTGGGAGTCCAGATAGTCACATGACTGCTATTGGTGAGTCCGAACCTCCCTGATTTTCGGAAAATTAAATGACAGATGAGTGAGGGAAACACATTGTCACTGAGATTTGTATGAGGTTTGTAAGGATGAGGCCGACAATCTTAATTAAGTGGTGACTGGTTTGTGAAAAAGACAACATTAATAACACTCCTAAGCTCAGAACGAACAGAAAGATGGAGAAATGCATGAAAGTAGGGATGAGACTAAGTTTAATGGGTCCATTCAGTGTCACGCATTGCTTTCAAAAGAAAACACTAGTATAGTGGTTCTTTGAGCATTTTTAATTTATCTGACTTTACAACTCACGGTAACTCAGTTGTCGGAATTGTGTTCAACCTTCTGAAGGAATGCTTTTTTGATTTCGTACTCTCGGCAGTCCAGCATTCTACCAAATACTCATGGCTTCTATGAAATCGTTGGGCTTCCCACCTAGAATTCGTAGAGAATCTCATTACTCAAGCATAACCACCTGTTTTCTCCAGGTAGTACTTATTTGATTAGTAATTCCGATGATACTTAAAATGAACAACAACTACCGAACGGCTTAGATAACCACTATCTCAGGTACAGTTTTAGAGGTCACACACTCAAGGCGCGAAGCTGCGTCACAATGAAGGGTTTAAAATTTTTCTGGGTTTCATTATTAGTCAAAATAAGAGTTCTACAACTGAATGTGCTGCACACAGGCCGCCTCCTGATTCATTTGGCACGATATTTGAGATATCGCAGTATATTTTCATAAAGGAAACTACTCACAATGTTACTGAATACTCTTCGACAGCCCACGACCGGTTTCGCCCTTCTTTGGGCTCATCAGGTAGGCGCAGTCCCCGAATTTCCGTTAACCTTATGTTCTACTTGAACCCAAATTGGACTGTTTTTGAGAAATACACTCATTTGCAAACCA